TTATCTTCAGATCACGACTCTAATGGCAAGAAAGCGGCAAAGTATGCTACGAACTGACTGTCTAGCTATGGATTTTTCTCAGTTTTAACCAAGCTAATCAGGCAGGGTTGATTTTGGCCACGTTACGCTTCTAAGACTCTGAATAATGCTTCAGTGACTTCCTTTTTGTTATGATGATTTGCGTTCTTGCTTTGTGTCGGTGAGGGCAGAAGTCTTGTGGGACACACCTTACTAAAGATTTATTCTCTTTAGTGGCGGATCCAAACCTTGAACTAAGGGGGAGGGAGAGAGACAGCCCGATTTTGTTTTGCTTGCCCCGCCGACTTTTCTTCCTTCCGTGATTTTTTCTTTTCTTACCCAAAATAAGGGAACCAGCGNGTGATTTTTTCTTTTCTTACCCAAAATAAGGGAGCCAGCGCCTCCCCCCCCAGACCCGCCACTGGTCTCTACAGCGAAACACAGGGCTAAGCTATGGAAGGCGTGAACTGTAACTTTAAAATTTCTAAAAAAGACACAGAAAAACACAGCCAATTATTCCTTCGCGGCTGACGATGATTCTTGACTGATCGGAAAGTGAAATTTTCCATTTATCCACGAAAAAGCTTTTGTGAACAGAAATCACTGTCGTAAAAGTTGAAGTCGGGTACTAGAATTTCTAACCGAATCACGATAGTTATATCACAATATCTGTGGATTCTTGTATCCCTGTATGTCCGTTTTTGTTAAGTTTCTGTTTTTAAGATCAAGAGAAGTAAATTATGAGCCGCGTGCGAAGGGTTTTCGCCATCTCAGAGCCGGAGATCTTCCAACAGTAACCAAAAACCTCGGGCCAAAGACTACAACTTCTGAAATGAATGGTCTAGTGATTTCGTTGCTAAAGTAACATGGGTGCCATATTTAAGGTAATTCCTCTGAAATAAAAGTGACAATAGATTGACAACTTCAATTTTGAAATAAAAAAAGGGGGTGCCCATGCTCATCAAGGAGCAGTGAGGCATTGAAAATGCCCCATTTTGGCATTAGTTAATGCTTATTACAAAAACGCATTCCCAGTAATTGTAAAATCTCTGTGAGCCCAGACTCGTAAGAATACGCATTAAACTACAGTCAACACATTGTGTCGGACACAACTAAACAT